GTCAGAGGAGGGCATGTAGGGAGCCAGAGCTCTCATCTTTGTCAGACTATAATCAGTTCCTCCTCCCTTGGTGTAAGTGGATAGCAGCATCAGTCTCCAATCCCTCCCAGCCAGGTAGTTTTGGAGGAGGCCTCGGGAGGAGCCAGAACTCTCTCCCACCTAGCAATGACTGGAAGCTCCTCACTATCCTTGGGTGCTAAGAAAAACTGGACTTGTACCCCCACTGGACCTGAGAAGACATTGTTCCCCTGTCTTCAATTTTTTTTTTCTCCCTGCCCCCCAAAAAAAAAAAATGTGGGTTGTGTCTCTCTTATCATCAAAGATGTCATGCTCATCACATGATTTTTATTATGCTTTTATTTTACTAACTGTAGAAGAAATGGGTACTAGCTTTTAGGTAAAGAATAAGGCCCAGTGATTCACCATCATTCCCACATACAAATGGAGAAACTGAGATTCCAGAACTGTGTTTTACCTAAAAGAATATGGCTGGTTAGCCCCTAAGTTCAAATATCTCTCCAGGCATGTAGGCAACTAGTGAGGTTGGGTTCTCTGAAGAGTTAAAAGCGAAGTAGAGTGAGGGTGCAAAATAAAGAGAAGACTGGTCTCCCTTTAAGCTAAGGATAAACTGAGGCTAAACTTGTGGGAAATATGTGGAAACCCATCCAACAAGGAATATGCATATTTATGATTCCAATTCCTTCAAGTCTTTGCTCAAATGGAATGTATAACAGGTACCTGTCAAAGCAATTTATGAAGAAGTGAGCTAAACAGACCGGTTTAAATAAGGTTAGTGAGGTTTGTTATGTAGATTCCTTGGTGTCATCTCAGCTGGTAAGGATCTAGAGTTGTCTCTGATTAACTTCTGATCTTCCTGGTAGAAGGGAGAAGGGTTTTATCTGGTTTTAGGCAGATAGGGAGGACAGAGAGCTTTACTTATATCTGCTTCTTATCAATTGTCCTGAGATTAAAATGATTCTTAAGCCAAAGTGGCATATCTCAGGGTGACATATTTTGCTACCTTTCACAGTGCTTTATTACTAATAAAGATGAAGGAAATATAGAAAAACATTAAAATATGGCAAAATTGAACACTATACAGAGACATTTAATAGTTCTCTTTGAGTATACTTGAAATGTTAAAGTAGTTTTACAGCAGGGTAAACTGAGGCTCAGAGTTAGATGATTTACCTAATAACTTATTCTTCATTATTAATAGAGTTGGGAACAAGAATCTACCTCCTTTAAGTTCTTATTCTTTATCCTTTCTTCTGTATACTTGCCCAAGGGCTGAAAGACCCTCCCTTTTCCTCCTATGGTTCTGTGGCCCTCATTGTAATTGTCAACAATGTGGGATGCTATTTACTTTGTTCCAAAGGGAATATGTAGTGGAAAGTATTAATAATACCCATTGGAAGATGAACCTTTGCTATCTATTGCTAAATCTCCAAAGCTTCAGTTGGTCACTTAGAGAAAACCACACACCATTCCAATTTGACAGGAGAAGAAGGTATCTATAAGTATAACTAGGTGGAAAAAGTTAATCCCACAGTAGAAAACTGAAGAGTTCAATTTACATATCTGATATGTCTTATATCAGGTAGGTTATATCTAATGAAAATGTACATTAAAAATAGATTGTGTCCAGGTATGTTTTGCATTATTACATTGTGCCTCAAAGAGAATCCACAGATGGGAGGAAAATGTATTAGAAGTAAAAGAAAATAAGTCAAGATGAGAATGTTCGTGTGTTTTAGCAGGTTTGGAAGAATTTGTGAGAAATTATGTAAGAAGGTGAGGTATTCTTAGGAAGATTATGGCAAACTCCAATTGTACTTAAAAAAATCCATTGTGCTACGCTTACCTAGCACCTGAATAAATAAACATGAGAATCAAGGCTATGTATTTCTTTGTGGCTACTGGCCTATGAAGTAAAACTATAAAAAAATCATGGAAATGTTAATACCACATTCAGCTTATAGTTTTGTAGTTGTATATCTTTGCATCAGTGATTTACTTTACATTCTGTGAAAGTGGATCAGACAAGATTTATTTAAACCTATAGAAATACAGTGCAAATTTCTTGTTAAGATTCTCATTATTTTTTATCATTTTTTAAAAGCTTGGTAAACAGACTGTTGTTTATATCAAATACAAAAAATAAGTAATTTTCTCTATGCTGCAGTTCAAATGGATTATTTTATTCCCTTTGAATTTGTTGGTTTGATTATGGGCACTGGTTTTAACGACTCAAGTATGAACTTGCATTATTAATGAGATGAAATATTTTTGTTCCACGTGGAGATGAAGTTTATGTAGGCACTTTATGGTTTGTAGACAATTTACTGGGAAGGCCTCTGTGCACAGGAAGATTAGAAGATAGAAATACTAAGTAAAATGATAGATATGAGGTGAAATGTATTTCAGTTAGCACTAAGTGCATTTAGGCAAAATCTATTTCAGGCAAAATATCTGTACTCTATCCTGTGAGTTGTACATAAGATGCACAGGTATGCAGGCATCTCTCCATGTGGTAGGGAAATGTGAACTACCCACAAACTCTTACCTTAAAAGAGCACATAATATACATGCAAGTAAAGCACCTCAACAAAATTAGGAGGTGAGAAATTTCAGCTTAAGCTCTGTGAAGACTTTTTGAGGAGATGACACTTGCTCTGGAATAGACGATCTATTTGTGAAAGATAGGAAAAAATGAACAGGTAGTGTTTATCAGCTACATAAATGATTGAGTGTGTCTTTTAGAGAGCAGGGTAGATAAAACCAGATCAACCATGTATACGTGGTTGTCAAGGTAAATAATTTAGAATTTATTTATTTTTTCACTTTAAAGAGTAATGAGATGTTACAAGTGGAAGAGTGAGGAAAAAGTAAAGTTTACGACCTGGAAGAATAAAAGTGACAGTTACACAATGAAAAATCCTGAAAGGGAAAAAGAGTTGAATTAAGGAGAAAAGTTGTGAGCCAGAAATTATCTCATTCTTTTAATTTATACACATTGTGCTGTGCGCTCAGTTGCTCAGTCAAGTCCAACTCTGTGACCCTATGGATCATAGGCCGCCAGGCTCCTCTGTCCATGGGATTTCCCAGGCAAGCATATTGGACTGGGTTGTGATTTCCTTCTCCAGGGTATCTTCCCAACCTAGGGATTGAGCCTACATCTCCTGCATTGGCAGGTGGGTTCTTCACCAGCAGCCAGCAGGGAAGCGCATATAATGGAATATTACTCAGTCGTCCAGGGCATCTTCCTGACCCAGGGATCAAACCCGTGTCTCATGTCTCATGCATTGGCAGGCAGGTTCTTTACCACTAGCACCACCTGGGAAACCCTTTATACACATTGTATTCATACAATAAACATTTTCACTAGGTAGAGTTCATCATTTTATGTAGTAAGTTCATAAACTTGAGCAAGAACAACTTTAGAGATGAGGAAACAGAAAGAAAGTGATTCCACATGGAAAAGATAATAAAATAATGTATGGTATATTTTAGAATACTGTCAATTACATACTGTTATAAACACTGTTGTCACTAATACATGCATTTAATTTTTAATTTTTTAGATGGATTCTCTTAATAGTTAGATTCCAAAAGTCTACAATAATGTATATACAAAATGTGGATAAGTTGAAATGTTTCTCTGAACATTCTTCCAATAAAAATATAGGAAATGATTTTCTACTTGAGGGCTTCCCTGTGTGGATTGACATTGTGTCTGGATCTAAATGAGCATTGATCAAAAAGTACAGAGTTTCAGATATGTAGGATGAATAAATTCTGGAGGTCTAATGTATAGCATGGTGACTATAGTTAGTAGTAATGTATTATATATTTAAAATTTGCTGAGAGACTAGATTTTAATTGTTTTACAACTGAAAAGATAACTATGTGGGATAATGGGTATGTTAATATTAGTTTGATTGTGGTAATAATTTCACAGTGTATACACGTACCAAAATATCACACAGTATACCTTAAATATGTTTTACTCATCAGTTATTACTCTGTTGAGCTGGGGATGGTGGGATTGAGAGTCTAGGACAGTATCCCAGGGACAGAGTGAGACTTTAGCTTCTTGTATGAAATAGGCAGTTGAACAAATATATGCTCTTACTTGGGGGTAAGATCACTTCTCACTCTAAGGCTCATTACTATAACTGTGATCAATGGTTAATTGTGAGAACAAATACAGTTATAAATAGAGCTTCCTGAAAGTTTTTTTTTCAGTTCAATGGAATTGGATTTCTATAGCAGGGTTATATTATTACAGGGGTGAAATAAGACATAAGTTTGAAATAATTCTCAGGATTATTCTGATTCCAAATAAAATATATTTAAAGGCACATGGGACATTTATAATTCAATTATTTTTTCTCTATGCTGAAACAACTAGTCTTTAATTATGAAGATATCTTAATAATCTCATGGAGAACACTAAGCAAGGGAATCATAAATTATTCTATTTGTGATAGGCAAACATAATGGAAAATTTAGGTTCTGTTTTTAAATTATTAAGCAAAGATGAGTTTTAGATAATTAACAAAGTCATAATATGCATTTTAAGAAATTATACAAAAGAGTAATTGACAGTCTAGGTTTCAACTATAGATCTAGAAAATATATACTAAACAATATCTCCTTAGGAGGAACTGTTTAAATTGTTATTATTCCTGCAATAGCAGTAAAGTTTTGTTTACATTGTGATCATGATAAGTTAGGTCATGAATGAGCTTATTTACTATTGTGTGAAAGATTATTAAGACTATCCCAAAACTCAAGGGGTTCTGAGACTGGTAAAATTATTTGGACATTCTCATAAGCTCCTTCTGACTCTTCAGATATATTATCATGGCCTCTTCAAAACTTTTCATTCAGCAAATATGATTTGTATATGGTATCTCAGAATCCTTTACATTAAAAGTGTTATAGTTTATAATTTTGATTCCTCTGATTCCCCTTCTTCAGGATTGTTTCAGAGCAAGTCTGCAGCCTGGATCCATGGATAAGGTCAATTCGTCGGTGGTGTCTGAGTTTGTATTGCTGGGACTCTCTAGTTCTCAGGAGCTCCAGCTTTTCTTTTTTGTTTTTTTCTCTGTGTTATATGTGGTCACTGTGCTGGGAAACCTTCTCATTATCCTCACAGTGACTTCTGACAACCGTCTGCACTCTCCCATGTACTTTCTCTTGGGAAACCTTTCCTTTGTGGACATCTGTCAGGCTTCCTTTGCTACTCCTAAGATGATTGCTGATTTTCTGAGTGAACACAAGACCATCTCCTTCAGTGGCTGCATAGCTCAGATTTTCTTCATTCACCTTTTCACTGGCGGGGAGATGATGCTACTTGTCTCCATGGCCTATGACAGATACGTAGCCATATGCAAACCCCTGCACTATGTTGTCATCATGAGCCGAAGGACATGCACTGTTCTGGTGATGATCTCCTGGGCTGTGGGCTTGATGCACACACTGAGCCAGTTGTCATTTACTGTGAATCTGCCTTTTTGTGGGCCCAATGTAGTAGACAGCTTTTTTTGCGACCTCCCTCGAGTGACCAAACTTGCCTGCCTGGACTCTTACATTATTGAAATACTAATTGTAGTCAATAGTGGAATCCTCTCCTTAAGCACTTTCTCACTCTTGGTCAGCTCTTATATCATTATTTTAATCACTGTCTGGTTTAAGTCTTCTGCTGCAATGGCCAAAGCATTTTCTACTCTGGCTGCCCATATTACTGTAGTCATGTTATTCTTTGGACCTTGCATATTTATCTACGTGTGGCCCTTTACCACCTACCCTGTGGATAAAGTTCTTGCCATATTTTATACCATTTTCACTCCCATTCTAAACCCCATTATTTATACATTAAGGAACAGAGATATGAAGACTGCCTTGAGGAAAATTATGACCCATTATCTGAGGCCCAAGAAAATTTCTGAAATGCCAGTAATAGTGAGGAATTCCCTTTATTAGACCAAATTCATTCAAATTCCACAAATCAATAGTCTGTTTATAAATATTTTCAATATGCTTGCATGGTATATCTTAGCTGTGGTGAAAGTAATGAAGAAGATGATTTAGAGAATATTCAGTGGATATTAAGTTTTTCCCAGAGGATGGGAAAAAAGAAAGAGTAGCTGATTCTTTGGTGGGGATAACTTTAGACATTTTAAAAAATCTTATGAGTTTCCCAATTTACATGCCTAAAAATCAATATAGGCAAATAGTGTTTAAGAATCTGAAGCTGAGTTTTCCAAACCAGAGGTTAGCAGCTTCACTAATTTAAGATAAGTGCATAAAATTAAGTGAAGATTCTTTGGTTATGAGACTTCTCCTCCAATATCAATTATGCCTATCCCATATTATTTTCCAATAATTAACAGTGCTTTAAAATATGGAACTAAATATATTTGGAAGTTTACTTTTCAAATATTTAGTAGGCTTTCTCTGATCAGTTAAGGAAATGCCAGTTTCCTCTGAAATTATGAGTTGTAGAAGAGAGGAGAGTCTTTAAAGCTGACCAATTCAACACTGACTTTTCAGTCTGTTCTATAAGGAGCTGTGCAGCCCTCCTTGTATGTGGGCCAAATACAAAGTTCTTTGTTATAATGATCAATGTTAAACATACATCCTGGTTAGCAATCAGGACCCCATAAATGGATCTCTACCCTGGACTCTGGGGACAGTTAGGGAAATTATTACTGTTGATTAGATCTTCTAAGTTTACTTTCGCAAATCTCTCAATTCATACAAGACAAATAGATTATGTAAATATTAGTCTTTCTTTTATACTAAGGATGAAAACTCTAATTTTGTGCTTTATTGCTTGCCTTATTTATTTATTGTTGCACTTTACTGTTCAGCTATACATTGTAATGTGAAGACAGTTGGTTTTTAGTTTGGTTGCCTTGATTTGGTAGAGTAATTTTTGACATTGAAATTTATATGCTATATATAATATTGAATTAATCTTAAATTTGTATCTTAATGGACTTCTTGAAATAAAATGCTAAACATTAAGAAATGGAGTCTGAATTCCCAGAGCTAATTTCACAGAAGAATGCATGCACATATTTTTTCCTTAGCGCATTTCCTTTTTTTTTTTCCAACAATATATGTATTTTTGATGTGAGCCATTTTTAACGTTTTTTAAAATGCCAGGAAGTCCCTCCTTTGTCCATTTCTTGACAAAGAAGCTATATTAGTTAACAGTTTAACAGGAGAAAAATCAAACAAAATTTAATAACATACATACATGTGAGAGAACTGGAAAACTGGGTAACTCACCAAAATGGCTAAAACCTTCACCTAAATACTGCCTGCAGCTAAAGAGAAAAGAGGATGTTGGGGATAAAGATATGGTGAGAGGAAGGCAATTTACATGGAAATACAAAAGCAAATGTTTGGTAAACGAATATTTGCTGAGCTGTGCAGAGACAATGGGACGCTGAGAAGAATCTTAACAAACAGACTCTGCTATGTTCCTCCCTGCTATACACCTAGTTCATATTATAGTTATCAAGGTGATAGTGTGTTGTGCTAAATAACTTCAGTCGTGTCTGACTTTGCAACCCTATGAATTGTAGCCCACCAGGCTCCTCTGTCCATGGGATTCTCCATGCAAGAATACTGGAGTGGGTTGCTGTGCCCTTCTCCAGGGGATCTTCCCAACCCAGGGATGGGACGCATCCTTCCCAACCCAGGGATGGAAAAGTGTCTCCTGCATTGGTAGGTGGATTATTTACCACCAGCGCCACCTGGTAAGCCCATCAAGGTAATAGCTCCCTTCCTAAAACATATCCTGTCTACATTCTTTAGGCAGTTAAAGGGAAAATCAAAGTTTCTTCCTGAGTCTTTGCATCTTACTTGTCTTCATCTCAAAATAATTCTCATGCCAAAGAAATATTTTGAGGTAGCAAATTGTGCTTCCCTATGGCTATTTTAATGATAATCATTTTTTCTTTTCCTACAAGCAAAAGAAACTAATTCTGACCATTCAAAGAATGAAGTTACTATTACAAGAAGTTAGTATAAAGAAAAAAAAGTTGCCTTTTGTATCAGCTCTAAAAGGATCAAACCCTTAACCACTGCATTCACCTACCAACAGTGCATCTGAGAGGAATTCAGAATGGAGAAAAACTGGTAGCACTCTAGGCTTTGGATACCTACCTCTAGATAGTGAAGATAAGAGATAATTGTCTATCAGATAATTGTCCTTTGAAGGACAATTTTCAATGACCTCAGATTCTTGTATTTTTCTATACATAGAGAAGCACTAAAAGCATTAATTTGATATATCTGTTCCTTTGTAATTAGCAGTAATCTGCTATTTTGTTTGACTACATGTTTTTCTCAGCAAAAAAATTTGTATTCTGGCTCCTCCCTCACCTCCTCAAACAGTCCCTCAGAGCTCTTTGAGAGACTGTCTCCTGCACTGTTCTCCAGGCTTTTCTGGTAGCTCCGATGGTAAAGAATCCACCTGCAATGCCGGAGCTTGCAGTTCGATTCCTGGGTTGGGAAGATCCCCTGGAGGAGGGCATGGCAACCCACTCCAGTATTCTTCCCTGGAGAATCCCCATGGACAGAGGTGCCTGGCGGGCTACAGTCCATGGCGTTGCAAAGAGTTGGACACTAATGAGCAACTAAGCGAAGCACTCCTGGGCTGCAGTCTTCAGTAAGGTCCCTGAATAAAATTTAACTCACAACTTTTATGCTGTGCCTTTTAACATCAGTCAATGTGTGTCCATATATATGTTTGGTTTGTAGAAATGTGCACACGATAATTTTACCAATCTGATATTTTCCCTTGTCAAGTTTTTAACCTTATACATATTCATCAATAAACATAATGTAATATTTTTAATCATTGAATATATTCCACCACAATAAAATATTATATTTCTTTACTCTCAAATTTATGGATACTTGGGTTGTTTCCAGTATCGATCTCTTTCAATCAATGCTGTAATACATACCATTGTTCTTGTGTCCTTAGGTATGTATACATTTTACCCAAGTGTGATTACACACACACACTTAGCATATACACATGCAAGTGATAGGAAAAATCTATTTCAGTCTCTTTCTTTAAAGATGGCCATTTAAAACTTACATCTACATCATAACCTTTGGAAATCTAGACAATGTATTATATAAAATACAGTTGAAAAGACTTGTCCACTAAAAAATATAGTCACAAACTGAAAGTTGAGAATTATTTTATTTGGTGGGAATGTTTAGGACTCCAAGCCTGAGAGACAGCACCTCAGTATCTCTAAGGAAACCTCCAAAGAGGCAAGAGAGGGAATCAGGCTATACACAAGTTTGCGACAAAGTGGGTAAGCAGTCTGAGCATCAAAGACTATTGTTAAGTAGTAAGGAAAACCAGATATCATGGGAAGGTGCAAGGCTCGGGGGCTCACTGAATTCATTCCTTTCATATGCATCTCAGCTATCTAGGGCCAAATCCTGTTTCTAGATTGTTTACATCCTTAATTCCTTGTTCATCACATGGAGTGGCAGGTATGGCAGATGGCTATTTCTTGCATCCCCTCAGCTCTTCAGCAATTGCCATGGGGGGTAGGGTGGTGGTATCTGCTGGATCGCAGGCATTCTGCTCTGTTTTGGGGCCCTCATCCACATTTGGAGGCCAGAAATCGCTGATGACTCAACATTTCTTGTGTATTGTTATGGCAGGAGATATTTTCATTTCAGATGCAGTTGAAATATTTTTGGGGGGAAATAGATTTTTCATGTAGAAGATATGAGGGTGCCTTAAAGTATTTGAAGAGACATTATGTTTAAGTGGGAGTAGGTTTTCTTTATTAATCTACAGATGGTAGAACCAGTTAAGCACTCCAACAATAGACTAAGCTGTCCTGTGAAATAGTGGGCTTCTTGTGATTGGAGGAAACCACTCTGAGGCTGAGTGATCATTTTTAAGACAGTATGATTGTTTTCTTATGCTCCAAAATCAGTACAGATGGTGCCTGCCATGAAATTAAAAGATGCTTGCTCCTTGGAAAAAAGCTATGACCAACCTAGACAATATATTAAAAAGCAGAGACATTACTTTGCCGACAAGGGTCCATATAGCCATTACTTTGCCGACAAGGGTCCGTATAGCCAAAGCTATGGTTTTCCCAATAGTCATGTATAGATGTGATAGTTGGACCATAAAGAAAACTGAGTGCTGAAGAATTGATGCTTTTGAACTGTGATGTTGGAGAAAACTCTAAATTTAGAGTTTCTTGGACGGCAAAGAGATCAAACCAGTCAATGCTAAAGGAAATCAGTCCTGAATATTCATTGGAAGGACTGACGCTGAAGCTGAAACCCCAATACTTTGGCCACCTGATTGTGAAGAACTGACTCACTGGAAAAAGATCCTGATCCCTGATGCTGGGAAAGACTGAAGGCAGGAAGAGAAAGGGACTACAGAGGATGAGATGGTTGGATGGCATCACCGACTTGATGGATTTGAGTTTGAACAGGCTCCAGGAGTTTGTGATGGACAGGGGAGCCAGGCGTGCTGCAGTCCACGGGGTCGCAGAGAGTCAGACATGACTGAGCGACTGAACTGAACTGGACTGATGATTGTTTTACTGACAGAAAGTTAGGAATTGAAAAATTGCTTTGCTGAGTAGGAATCAGTGATAAATAATCTTTTGCTTTCATACACACCAACTAGTTGGTAACAAACTTTTTCCCTTTCTTTTCCATTCCTGGAAAAATTATTTTGTTAAAACTTAATTACTCCCACTGTTGGATGACATCAGATCTCTAAAGGGTGATTTCTCACTTCCCCAAAGAAATGGGTTTCCTGGATTGAGGATGGAAAGCTTTATATTGCGTTACCTTAGATATTGTATTTATATCATCCAGGACAAGAGGAGCAGAGCCCTCACTACTTCAGGACAAGAACTGAGGGGCATGCTTTTGCACAGCTTAGTTCAGGACAAGCTAAAATGCATCAAGTCAAGAGTATGTTGCAAATATTTTTAATATGAAGAGCAGCCAAGTTGATGATACTAGGATCAATATTTGATA